CTGTTACTGCAGTCGTCAAGGTCATGAAGGTCTTCCTGCATGATACTCCAGTCCTCTTCCGTATCAGTAGTACCTTCCAATTTTGTGTTGTCAGCAGATTTCATTAGCTCATTTACTTCCTATTTTTTTTTCCAAGGTCATTAATGAGAAGATTAAATAAGATTGTTCCCAGAGTGAATCTAGGAAATAATTCCCCTTTCTCCTGACAGAAGACTCCTCTTCAGTCAGTTTCTTACATACAGTACAGTTCATATGTTAGTCTTGATTTTCATCTTATTAAAATTATACAAAATACATTCAGGAATCCAGTGGGATTAGGTCTAGTGTCTATTTCTGTAAAGAACAGCCAATCATTTTATCAAATAAATACATCAAACACGTATAGAATAATAATAATCAATGATCAGTGGGTATTTTTATCCCACTTCCATATCCCGCTTTATCTTTTACTATGTTTCCATTCCAAATGTGTCATAAAATCCTGATTGTTATTCAGCCCAGGTGTCCCTGCTTTGGCAGTTGCCTAGTTCACTTATTCCCTTTCTTGAATATATCTAAAAATTAGTATTAAGAAATTGGTATCTCACTTTTATTGTCAATAAATTAAGCCCCAAATATTTGGTACTTCATCCAAAATAAAAATGCTCAGAATTAGAACAAATTAAGTGATTCTCTAATATTCTATTAATATTTATAAAACAGTGTCTCAGAAATGTACAAAAGAGGGGAAATATGAAAACAATGAAATAGCTATAAATTTCATTGTAGGTGGCATTCACAAATTCTGTAAGTATCATTTAACCAACTGTCAAACTGTGGGGCATGCTGTTATCTTACTGTGGAGCCCTACATGATAGCCTTGTTGCCCAATGTGTATCAATCGCCAGCATCGCTTCAGACTAAGCTGTGACATTGCACTTTCTTAAAATAAATCTCAGCATTGATGTGTTTTAGGTTCAGAACCAGATGTGAGCTGCAGGTGACCCAAAGAGGAGGAGGTTAGAAGAATTTCTAGAAGGCTAGGAGGAGACTTGACCTGAAAAAGTTTAGATTTAACAGAGTGCCTTACTGAACTTGATCAAACCTTTCTTACTCTTGTTATTTGCTTTAGCTCATCACAACGATTACTGATGTCACACACGAGCAGCCAAAGTATTTTATGATTCATATGGAAGTCAGAGCCCTGTGTCCCTTAGGACATTGGTTCAGAATCATTGCAGAGGGAAAAGCATCACCTAATGAATTACCACTATGACACTTTTTGCTGTCCTTTCCCATAAGCTTGTCCCACAGGAACCAACTTGGCGTAACTCAACTCTGTTGTCCTTGCAGGATTTGATACAGTATTGTACCACTACAGCACACTGAGGTGTTTTATGGGACAGAAATTAACATACCTTCTAAGATAAAGTAGTCATGAGTAAGCGAAAGTTTTAGCTGTAGGTGGCTCAGAGCTGATTTTGTGACTGTATGACTGGGAGACAAGATTACATGAAGTCCAGAGCTAAGAAAGGTCAGCCCAGACTGGAATGGAACTCCATTGCCAGGATATATTGCTGGAACTCCTTGGTCTTTGGTGCTACCCTTGGGTGATTATATGGAGATGTAAAATAAGAAATAGAGCAAAGAAACTCTTTTTCTATGAGATGTGAAAGGCAAAATTTAACCTGAAGCTTTTATGTGGTGCATTTGCAATTGGGCTTTGCACTGGTGCCTACCATTGTCCCAAAGCACTGATTCTCTGGGTGGGGAGATTTCAAAATGCAAATTCAAAGAATAGCATTATCTTAAATGGTGGAAAATGAACTGCATTGCAGGTTTGGTAAATCTGAAGGTTTTGTTCAGCCACTTAGTCATAGCTGCCCCCTCAAGTAAGAAATAACAAAAGGAATTTTTTTGAGAAGGTGGGACTGGAGCAAAATATAAGGATCTGAAACTGTATGGGTTCTTTGTGTTTTATAAAAGAATCAGAGGTGAAAGATTTCCCATTGTAGACTATTATTAAATGACTACAGCCAGTAAATTGTACATAATGATCTTGACTTCATGTAATCAGCAAAGCTCCATTGACTTTAATGGAAAAACACTGATTTGCACTAGCAGAAGAGCTGAGTGGAAGGAGGTGCATTTCTGACTGTCTCGCTCATGTGAGTAATCTCCCTGAAGTAATTCTCAAAAGTAAAGATTATTAAGCATCTGTGTGTCTTTTGTAGCTCCATTCTGCAGGTCCTTATACTTTCAGCGCCAAAGCTGTCTTTCAGCGCCAAAGCCCTAGTGCACAAAGTGCGAGGAACCCACTCTGGAAGAGGGTCTGAATTTATCCCCTTTTTTCCATGGCCTGGATGAGGATGCCTCACAGGTCCCTGCTCTGCTCCTGGTATGTATTGCTTTGTGAACTTTTACAGTGTCTACCACAGGGGCAGAGAGCTAACAGGGAGGCCTGGGAACTCGGCAGCAATGAACAGGACACCGAACCCCCTGCCTATTGTACGGAGTTAAACACTGCCCTGATAGAAGAATTTTTGGTGCCATGTTATTCCTTGTGTCAGCAGGATTTGGCCTTACAGTTGCTCTGATAATTGTGGACAGATCTGAACACAGAAGTTATGATAACACACCTGATAACCAAACTAATGTTCTGGATTTGTTCTTGTACCTTGAGAAGGAGAGAGCTTAATCCCAGTGGAAGCACTGGAAGCATTTCCTAGGCTGGCTCCCATTTCTCAGTTCCTGTTCACAGAGCCACCCACGTGACCCAACATTCCCTTTGGCCACATGTAGAATTCTGAGTGAGGCTGGATCACCTGTTCAACATCAGATTCACCCACTCAGATGCAAAAATCTGTAAGTCAAAAAGCACAATTGTGGAAAAAGAAAAAATAAAAGCACCAGTGCTTTTCTTTCTTCCTTCCACCACAGATTGACCAGCTGGGACAAAAAGCATCCCTAGCACTGCTTGGTTCTTCTCTGAAGACCTGATCCTGTAACAGTGCTCTGATCTCTGAAGAGCTGATCCTGGACCTGCTCACGAGCATCACAAGTATCTCTCTTTCTAACCACATGCAGTACAGGTCAGTGTCTCAAATACTGAACGCTTCAGTTCCCCACATTGCAACACAAAGCTTGTTTGCTCTCAAATACAGAATTACAGTTCTAATTTCTGCCTACAAAGATATAACCTCTCATAGTATCGTCTTTGCCTTGACCACAGGACTACTGCAACTCAATAAAGTGCTAATGGAGATCCTAATGCTATTCCATTAGCCTTCATTCCAGATTATAGCCTGGCCTGGTCAGCATCATAAAGTTGTGCTGGCTAGAGGCTGATGGACAAGTGCTTTTGTTATCTGCAGCCATGCATGCTTTGTGCAGACCTCCGTTGTGATGCAAGCTCTCCTAGCTGAACTGGTGCTGAGACAGGCTCAGTGTGTTTGCCCGATGACATGTCCTGCCTATCAATGCAACCACCACACTATGCTAAAGCACCATAGAGGAGCCACATGAATTTTTCCTGGTGTACCCACTGGGTTTTCATAGCAGGGTGCTTTATTGTAACGTACCTGTGGGCTCATCCTCAATGAAGTGCAGGTTGAAATAATCCATTAGTAATGCCAAAGGAGGTTTCCCGATTGGTTTAAGCCAATGTAAAAGTGCACTCCTGCTGAGAAGTGGGGTGTTACCCCTCATACTCTATGTTCCTATTGCGCTGGCTCAAGTGAGCTGGCTGGAAACTGATCCTGCAAGAAAAGCAGGTAAATTGGGTCAGTTCCCTCATCTGTCTGCCCCTGGGGCTGCACTGAGGGAGCGCTGGGATAGATGGAGTAGGAGCATGGGGGGAGCACGACTTCCCCTCCAGCAGCAGCATAGCCTTTGGTGGGCTTAACCCAAACTGTGCTCTATGGTTGTTTCACATTAGGCATCTGCAGATCCAGAGAGACGGTGTGATGAACCAGACAGAACAGGCCTGTCTGGAAATGGGCTGCAGCTCAAGTGCTGGCAGCCACATTGCGAGAATCAGTTATTCAGTGCAACTATTACGATCACCCTGCACATCTTGGCTGTTTTGCACGGACCACCATCAGTCAAGTCAAACTGTCTCAGGAGATGTTAACGCAAAAGCAGACGTCTGGAAGTAAAACTGCAGTGAAGCTTAACAGTGAGTGCTCTGTGCGGCTGCATCTTAACCCGTGCTTCTTACCGCAGCTGGCTATCCAACACAATTTAAAATTAACAAGCATCTGCATCTCCATAGCTGTTAAGCTAGGAAAGAAGAACCAAGAGGGTGATATGCTTGGCCAGTCAATGTCTACGTGGCCTGATTTTTTTTTTTTTTTGACTAGCCCTCAAGTCAGTCCTAAGGCCTCTGCTTCTGAAGATACTATATAGGAAGGAACACATTTGGATGCTTTTTTTTTTTTTTTGGCTGGACCACTGGGCAAGCAGGCATTTGAGACTGAATGAAACAGAGGATGTGTCAGTGTGGCTGCTCCTATGCAGCTGTGCTGTAATTTGAGTGTCACAACAGATTCAGCTGGAGATGGAAGCAGCTTTGGTTTTGAGTCAGACATCACCATGTTTGAAGAGCTGCCCCTGGCCATTAAATAATGCCTCAGCTGATTGTTGTTTTAATACTGGTTGATGGCATCTATCAAACTCATTTTTTTCTCTGGTAAACATGTATCAGAAATAACATGGGGTTTTCCTTTTTTTCTTTTTTTTTCTTGGCTTATCTTTGATAATTTTGAATGAGATCCCTTTGGTCAGAAAGTCTTTAGGATGTTGATCAGGTAAGGCCCACCTGATATGTGTAGGAAGACAAAGGACACCTGTCTGTTATTTGGCAAGCTTGTGAATGTTGCCTCAAGCAGACCAGGTCAGTGGTCATCACATTCTCTCATGCTGCAGGTGATGCTCTAATACTACTGGCATCCGTAGGATGTGCTAGGAGACATCCAGGGTTTTCAGGGGAGAACTCTGAGGAGTGTGGCTACCTGCCAGGCATGAAAAAGGGCAAAAACGAAATTGAAGTAAGGAAGAAGCCAATGAGGAGCACATTAGGAGAAAAGAAGACTGAATCTAAAACTGAGAGTAAGAAGAGACAAAAATAGAACGAGCTGGGACTGATTACAGAGAGGACCTGAGGGCTGGGGAGTGGGGGCAGAGGTGTCATTTTGCAATGAGCTGGAGAGGACAGTTGCCCTCAGGCAAGACCAAAGGAAATCAGGGCACAGAAGGGGGTGGTCTGACTAAGAGAAAAGAAGAGACAGGTTGGTAGGGGAATGAGAGATTAGGAAGGAAATATGTTAAATATTAAAACAGAGGGGAAAATAATGGAAAAGCAAACCAAAAAGTATTAGGAGAAAAGGAAATAAGATAACAGGGTGCAGAAGACAAAGAGTAATGACTAATAGTCCCCAACAATAGGTATCTACTGAATTAGGCAGAAAGTGTCATTCAGTCTGTTCTGGCAAAATAAGCAGCATTGTGCAGTCCTTCCTGATACCCATTATTGTACCAGTGACAAGACATGACAAGAGCTGCTTTGTCTGCCCCACGTGGTGCTGCCCGCTGGGGCAGAGCTGCCCTTTGAGGAATGACGTGTATGAGGTCAGTGTTAGCAAATCTGCTTTTTATCCTTCTTGATCACACTTTCATCAACAAGGCCTTATTTATACTGAGTTTTTTTCCGAATCTATTTTATTATTCCCTAGCCCTGACAAGACTCATCAGTGCTAGCCCTGATGAAAGCACTACTGTAAATGGCCTTCTGGTATTTTTACCTCAGACCCGTCAACATCTGACGTGAAAAGAGTAATAAAATTGCTTTGGAGAAGTCTCCCATAATGCTCCTACCATTGCAGTTACTGATTGATAGAGTTAAAACTCCACTGTGAGGCTGCTATCGAAAGCATTCCTATTGCCCTCCACAACCCAGGGTTTAAACTGGGCAGATTTTGTTTTAAAAATTATTGATAATTTTAAAAACAGAAGCAACATGGGAAAAGAATCTCCCTGGTTTCAGCTGTGATGTCAACAAAAAGGGTTTTTTGTTTCTGTTATAATAATAAAACCTGGTACAATAATTTAATGCATTTTGTGCCAGTACTTGGTGCAAGTAAAACCCTTAGCCTGGAGCAAAGATGAGGTCAGAAATTCTGGCTTTCTCATAAAGACAGACATACTAACAATAGAGAAGAGTGATAAAAATGGTTCTCAGAATATTCTCTGAAGTGCTCCATGTTTCGGCTGGTTTATAAAGGAGAAGGGACTGGAGTTTAGGAGAAGAGATGAGTTCAATGGCTTTAAATACAGAGTAGGCAGCTGAAATGCTGATCAGTCTGTGACATTATTTATAAACATTTCCATGCACCCCTGTGTACCAGGGAAGGAGAGAGCTTCTTTACAGGCTCTTTCCTAGTCGATCCTATAGGAACTATGGGAGATACAGGCTCCTTGTGCACCCATTTGCAATGAAGTATTTGTGTAGAGCAATGATTGCCTACTATCTGTTATAGCACTAAGATGATTACATTAACAACAGTATGCAATCCAAAGGAAAAAAACTTTAAAAGGTTCAGAGCTCAGAATAAGTGATTTTTACCTCTGCTTACTGGATAATATATTCTTCTTCTTACAGCTTCTTGGCATTAGTTCATGGGACTGGTGAAAAATGAGGCTTTAGATAGTTCAACTTTCTGCATTGGTATAGCTGTATACAGGCATGAAGTCATTCATGGCAGACAAAGGCAGAATGTGTCTATGATGCCATGTAAATTAATTTTAAAAAGGCAAAAAGAAAAAAAATCTGATTCTTTCCTAGGGAAGAAGTGTGCTGAATTGCATTATAATGTATATGCATACGTATAGTCAGCATCTGGCAGAAGGAGGCCAGGATTTTTAAAACTGCAGAGTGAGCCTTTTCAGGGTCCCTGCAGTCTGAATATAAACCCACACATCCTTATTATTTGCATATGGCCCCATTATGCTTTGGAATTCACAGAAGTCTCTTCCACACTGAGAAACAGATTTTTTTTTTTTTTTCTGATGGAAATTATTGTTCTTCAGAGTGGCTAGAAGTTACTAGGTATATACTGTACTAAGCTATATTTTGCCTTCTTCTCTAGATTATGATGTATTTTTTCCTGTCTCTGTTGTTTTAATCCTACAGCTCACATCCTCTTTGTGTTCCTAAAGGAATATGATCAGTTCAACAGTCATTTTTTGCTGTAAAGTGATCTATCTCCATAACAGGTAAAAACCCTCTATTGCTAATTGAGCTTTTCAGACTGGTTTTATAATAGGATTTTGAAACCTTTTTCTCTTTCAGCCTTAATCTTCTGAAAATAAATTTAAAAGCCCTAGTTTTCCACAGAAATAAAAGGTAAATATTGATTAATCTTTTAAAAATGTAATTATCTGCCCTGCCACAAAAAAGCCTTGCAATATAGATTTAATGATATGGTTCCTTAATACAGTTTCAGTTAGCAGCAGTAGAGAAAATTTAAATGAAGTATGTAAGGGAATAAAATATTTTCATCTCAAAGATGAAACGAAAGGAGGAATTAATCTGGCACCGAGATACAGGAAAGCTGCTCATGATGACTGCAGTTTGTCTGCAAGATGTTGTATTTGAGCTCCACATGAACAATACATGAGGTTGTTTGAAGGAAACTGAGAGCAATTACGTTTAGAGAGGGAAGTCGAGAGACTTCTCAAAAGAGGAAAGTGCATGAAGAATAGTTCCTCACACTTTTTTAGAATATATATCAGCTACTGAAATATCAGAACTACAGCACTTGCATACATCAAATGCTTGCATTCATTGCATCACTCCATGATTAGTCACACAGTACAGGTAGTACTATATTACATGATGCCATGGGGTGGAAAGCCTTTAGATCTCTGCAGTGACTCCCTGATAAAAGCCAAATATTTCTTAAATTGTGTGGCTTCTAGGTTTCCAGGGATATCACAAACACAAAGGAAATGTTATTGGTTAGGTAAACCTGGGCTGAAAAGCATTCCCAAATACGTGTATATAGCACCATCTACTGACATTCTGGGTCTTTGCAGGGGATGTTTTAAAAAAAATCTGAAGACCTATGGATTACAATAGTAATGGGTTACATATTGTATGGGTTACAATAGGGTGCAGTAGTTTTCCCCTGATTGGCACAGGATCCCTCTTTCTACTTATGGCTCTGTAAACTCAGAACAGTGATGATCCTGGCCTCAAGAGTTTAGCAGCTAAAAATGAGACAAAATAAAAAATGGCAGCCCAAAAGAAAAAAAAGAGGAAAAAAGGGAGGGGAAAATGAAACAAAAATTGAGTAGCTGAGTCAGAATGTGTCCTGGAGAAAAAGTGAGATTTGTTGGTAAAGGGAATAATTTCTCAAGATGTAATTTGAGATCCCCAACACTTTCTTCTGGCTTCAAATTCCTGTATCCTCCTCTGGGCCATCCATACAGCTTATCGGAGTCAATGCAACGCACCCGTCAAAACAGCTTTCCCTTCCTTTATCCTGTGGAACTCTTCTGTTAGTGAGATAGGTTGACTGGCATCAGGGCCTGCTGAAAACCAGAGCTGGTGTAGACAGCCAGATGTGTGGAAAAGGAGGGGAGGAACGTGACGGTACCAAAGGGCTGTCAGACTGTGTCAGTGACAACATGTAGTTTCATTCTTGCTGGGTTATATTTAGTTCATTGACCTGGTTTATTACTGTTATGTAGACACAGAGGAGAGTATGCAAACAGCCAAGATGGAAACTCCTTAGGTGGGGTGAGCTCAGCTGTCAAAGGAGCTGAATATGATCCTGCAGCCTCAGAGCAGGCTTATTAAACCGAGTCCTGATAAAAGAGCACAGAGAAGAGGTAGTGCTCTTCTCCCACCTACTAGCTAGGATGTCCCCACGGCATACATGATCTGTCTCTCAGCCACTGAAGCAGAAACAGCGTGCAGCACAAGCATTGCTCTGCCAGCAGGGAGGAGCATGGGGACAAAAGTAGGGCAAGACATGGAGCGGGGATAAGTTGATCAGGGCAGGACAAAAGATTAGTATCATGGATAGTATTGCTGCTTTGCAGTTTTGGTAACATTTGGTGCAGAGCACCTTTAGAGCCACAGTACTGCTGTTGTTTTGGAGTATGTCCGTCATGAACCTCTGTGACATCCAAAACATGACTGAACACAGTCACATTGGAACAGTGGAACTGTTTTTGTAGATGTGCCTGAGGTGGCCATCCTGCCCAAATCACTCCAGTCAGCCAGACTACCTATCTGTCCCCTGGAGGAGGGAATTGTCTCTTTATTCTTGTGAAGCCTTTTCTCAACCCTTTGACTTAGGTTCTTTGGTCCTACACAAATGTATTAACAACAAATAATAAACTTTTTTTTTTTAAAAAAAGTTCATTCTGTCACTGATTTTAGTTTTTCCAGAAAAACAGATGTTTGCTAGGTGGAGTGGTAGTATGGTACTGAGCCCAGACTGCGCAGAACAGGACGCTAATGCATGCAAGTGAACCCCCAGAAATCTATTTCTGGTAAGACTTGTCTTTGCCCCTTCAGCATGACAAGGTTGGTGTTTAATCAGAAGTCACATATGCTTTCTCAGTGTCTTTCAAGTATTTTTACTTCTCTTGACCTGAGTAGTAAGACAGTACTTTAGATAGTGCTGCATGTGTCTGTGTCAAGACAGAAACAGACTGCATACATGAAAATTGTTTAAAGAACAGGTTTTCAAATTATTTACAAAATGCATATTGAAAGGCCTCTTTCCGCAGCTGTCCTAAGAACAATTTCCAAGAGACAATTTCTGTTTCCACATTGCAAAGCACAGTTCTAAGCAGTACGGAGCTCAAAGCTTTTTCTTCTCTTATCTCGAGGCTGCGTAAATAGCACTTCTCAAGGTGTAGTTTCCTGATCGGCTTAGTCCTGTCTAAATCCATGGCGCTACTGTGGCAAGCAGTGGTCCTGTCCACTAAGGCTTGTGTCACCATGAACTTGGCTGGATCGTGGAGCTGACTCAAATGGAAACCAATCATTTGTTGCAGGATTAATTTGCAGCTGGATCAATGCCCTCGTCTGTCTGACTGTACACCCATGGGAGTGCTAATGTCCACACCTGCCACCAGCTCTCAGCAACAGCACACGCTTACATGGGTTTATGCTGTTCATAAAACCCCACCCTGAGGCTGTTTCAGCTTTGATTCACTGAGAAATGCAGTCTCAGGCATGGACTCCCTATCCTCCATGCTTATATTTGGTTTAGTCTGTGGATGCTGATGCTTTCCACTGTCATCAGACAAAGGGGCTTTTAATGGCTCTATTTCCTATTCTGAATGAAAAGCAGTCATCAATCTTGCTCACATAGCTGCACATAAATCAAAGGCATACTATAAACTGCTTAATTTTTAGCACTGTGTAACTGCATAGCCTGTTTCACACATGCTTGTAAAAACGCACGTGGTGAAGGGCCGGTGCTGCGAAGCCCATCTCTCACAGAAACGACGGAGAGAGGCGCAGGACAGCAGGAAAGCTATTGGTTATGAATAAAGGTCAGGGATGGCAGCAGACAAGTGTTCTGCTCGTCCCGTGCATTTTGAGAGGTTTGGCACACCTGCTCAGCGTGCCAAGCATTTTGAGCTTCGCGCGCGTGAACAAAGCCCCTCTCGCTTCTGCAAACCACGCGCGGGAAACATTCACCACCGAAGCGCGGCCGCACTTTCAAACACCAGGGCGTCGGCGCAGGCCAGGCCCTTCACTGAGCCCTG